ACGAGTCTCCTGGAGACAGAGTATCAATCTCATAAAAGCAGGTGTCACCTGAACAAGCTGTGCCTGAGCTCAGACCCCTGTGCAGCCTATGCTGTGCCCTGACTTGGAAAAACAAACACACACAAATGAGTTCCTTCTCATAATCATTTCTAGGGTATAAGAAACAGAATGTTTCTTCCTGGGAGGGAAACAATATACTTTCTAGTTTCAATAAACAATTCTTTCCATAAATGATATTTTTTACATCTCCAAATTAATAGTCCCTGATCTGCAGGAAAAGGTGAAGTCTGCGCTATTTACACTGTAGGCAGGTCAACGACAGTGTGCGCTGGCACACGGGCGTGGAGTTTCACAGCGTGGGGTCCAAAGATAAAAGGGCTGTGGTCCTGGAAGTTACCCTCAAAAGGAGTAATGTTTATTCTTGGGAAGAAAAACTTTCGGAGGGGAAGACGCACGTCAGCTATTATATATCAGAGGTGTTGTCGTGATGAAGGAATATTAGGCTCATGAATGTCCACGGTAGGACTCAGATCAAGGGAAAGAAATTGTGAAGACTTAGATTTCTACTCAAAGGAAAGAGAAAACATTTCAATAGTCTGAAGTTGAACCTGGGATATTTTGAGTTATAGATCAGAAAAATTTATCAGGCACCTGGCCGGTCACCTGATGTGAGACATGGATAAGGTGTTTAGATATTGAATTGGGGCAGATTATGAGAACATTGATGACAAGGACAATGAAAACAAGACACTAATAATAGTTCACTCCATCAGAGCAGAGTGTGTGCACCTGGCGCTGTGTAAGCAGTTGACATAGACAGAGGGGTTGTTAGACTAACTGGAGCCGTTGTTTTTCCCTTCTGACTTTTAGTAATAGGTCTTCTGCACTTTAGCCAGCGAAAAGGGATAGAGTCAAGCCCGTATGGAACAAACAGAGACCATTTCAAAGGGCTCCAGAACTTAAAAGCAAACTCATCAAGAGGCTGGTGGTTTAAATGACATAATTTTCCTTCGGTGTTCGAGAGCTAGAAAGAAAATCCAAAATCTCAGATTGGGAGACATGGAAAAATTAGTGAGATGTGGAAAAAATACACGGTTCAGAGCCTGTTACCATAAGTTCCTTGAGGCTGCCAAGGCAAGGCTGTCGTTCCCTAAACGGACAAGCGCGTTTGGAATTCGCCTCTGAGAGTTTCCCGCAGCTCGCAGCGGTCGCTGTGGCACATGCTGGAGCTGGGTGGAAGGCTGCCCCGGGGACGGGCTCTGAATGGAATGGAGTTGGACCCCTTTGTAGAACTGTCAGGGAAATTAACTAGGTTCTCTCTGGTTACATATGGTCTTGCTCCCTTGTTTTGTGTCTGATCTCAGGGCAGGCTTTCTGGTAAGTTTTTAAAATATGGTGAGAGTCATGCACTTTTCTAAAAACCGAGCTCTCTTTTAAAAAGACAGATCCTGACCAGATAAGGATTTCCCTCTTACCTGAGAAAATTTGAGCAAGAAGCATGAGGATGGCAACAGTTAAGGGAAAGATCCTCATGGCGCCAGGCATCTGGGGGAGAGGGCGAGGGAGGTGCTGGAGCTGGAATTCAGCTCTTTGAACGGGAAGGTTGATTAAAACAAGTTCTACGGCTCCAAACAGGCGAGAAGTAACTTGGGTTTGTAACATTCATTAAGAATGAACTATTCTCCGTGCCCCATAAAATAGTGCGTGGGCTGGCCAATCGGATGTGACCTACGTAGGAGTTATGGGAGAGAAAGGCAGGGAACGTGGCCTTCCTGGCTGGAACACCCGAGTCTGCATCTCTGCCTGGACCTCCCCTATTTTCCCTTCAAGCCCCACTTCAAGCACCACCACCTGCATGAGACCTGTAACCACTGGTCCTTTTCTTCTTATCTAGGACTTTACATGCAACTTACCCTCTTATAAAATTCACTGAGCAGTTACCAGGCAGCGCCAGGAATCGTCACAAACTGGCCAATGCAAGGGAATTTGCTTATGTGCACCTTTCTCATGCTGCCGTGGAAGGACCCCCGCCCCCTCATCCCTCCCCACAGAGGGCAGAGGGGGCAGGGGAGTTGGCCAGGTGCCATGTGACACGCATACTCAAGAGCAAAGACAAAAGAGCATTCTGTGGGCCTGAAACATGAAAAGATCTTTCCACACAAGGTGATAATCCTGGTAGAGGCTGTGTGCGCTCCTATCTCTGGGTGGGTACGGGTTCCAAGCCCCAAGCTGACTTGAGGTCAAAACCCTGCACCCATGAGAAAGCCCTTCCCAACTAAAATGATGTAAGAAAACGTTATTAATGCTTCTTTGCCTAAACTGTGAACTCTCAAAAAAAATGGGAAGGTTTCTCCAAAAGTTCAACTTACCAAAACTGACACAAGAATTAGCAGAAAACTTGACTATCTCTTTAATAAATTGAATTTTTTTTCGTTAATGAAAGGATGGCTTCTGCTTAGGATGTACAAAGATGGAACCAACACATTTCAATGTCAGCCAAACACGCACCAAAATGCAGGGCGGGCTGCAAATAGTCAACCTTTCTGAAACTCACCCAAAAGCTGAGATTCCAAGGTAACCACTTTCCCCAAATCTAAGAGAAAGGAGGAAACTCCAAGAAAAAATCAGACATGAGCACTCACGTCCTGAGGCAGATCTGCCAGACACAGGTAAAAACGGATTCAGGTAAGTCTGTGAAGAACTGCTAGTAGCAACTGTAAACGGGAGAGAGAACAGGGAATTCCTTTGGCCACAAATAAGAGGGGCGTCCACGCCAGCACCCGGGTTCTCTCTCAGGGACCTCATCAGGCGCTCACACAAAGGGTGCCAGAGCTGAGAAAGTCTGGGGGAACACCCCTCCAGATGTAGGCCGGGGCGCGTAGCACGGTGAGAAAGGCACAAGATTCTGCCAGAACCCACCTTCCCTATCGGGGGGAGGGGACAAAAAACAAAAAAAAAAGTGGCTTACTGCTCTGTGGGAAGGGCAACAAACAGTTTCCTATTGCTTTAAGGGCAAACACACAGGCCTGGTTAAAAAAAAAAAAAATCAGACCTGGGAAAGGAGGTATAAAACCATCACCACCACCGCACCTCCGTTGTCGGCCAAAAGGAAGTCGCACAGAGGGGACCCCAGACCCCTGGCGGGAGAGGGGTCATGGAGAAGTAAAGAAAACTTCTCATCCAAAAAACACGCAAGCCAGGAGAAAATGGAGTAGCATCTTTAGAACTCACCAGAGAAGCCATCTACTCCTCAGTGTTACTCTGCGAGAGTTACTTCCTTGTCACTAATTCATTTCCTTTCCTTGCTAGAGGCCGATACAGATCTTCTACGTATTCTTTAGTCAGCTTTAACATTTATGTTGAAGGGACCAAAATTTTGTCATCTGAAGTTGCTTTTTTGACCCAAGTTGCTATTGAGTTTTAGCTGTTTATAAAGAAACAGACCCAGAAAGAACTTTGGGGTCTTTCCTCTCCCCTTTCCTGCCCAAGAGAGTCAGACAGAAAACCCCGCTTCAGGAAGGGAATCTTCGACGCCTTACCTACATTGAATGAAGTGTGGTAAGCACGAGGGGTCACGCAGGGGCCTGTCAGCTCGACCCCCACTGTGTCCCATTGTTTCTGTGCCACCAGGGGGATTTTCCTGCCATTGTGTTCCCCGGTTCCCCAACTCCCTATAGTCGCCCCCTCTCTCCTCTGAAATCTGTACTCTGTTGTCCCCTCTTCTCCTTTGTCCAAAATGCCTTACACCCGGTGTTGCCTCACTGCCTTTGGAATTGTGCGCACGCATTAAAATCTCAGTTTCTTCCTGTTCCTCTGTCTCTGTTCATTTGGTCATTAGCTCAGCCCGAAGAGATCAGAAGGTGGGAGGAAAAGCATTCCTATGTTTTAGGCCCCACAATGTCTTTCTAGAAACACAGGCATTTCACCTGAGCCACCTCAAATGCCACCATGCAATTGTTTGTAGTATTCCCTAATAATACTTCTTATTGCTGTAAGGTCCGTAGTCAGGGTCTCTCTTTCATTTCTGGTTTTAGTAATTTGAGTATTCTCTCTCTGCTTTCCTTGGTCAGTCTAGGTAGAGGTTTGCTTATCGTGTTGATCATTTCAAAAAACAAACTTTTGGTTTTGGTGATTTTCTTTATTTGTTTTCTTAGTCTCTATTTCATTTATTTCCGCTCTAATCTTTATTATTTCCGTCAAACCAAGTGGTCAAGTTTGGGTCACTGCTCAGAGGACAGTGCCGCTTTTGACCTTGACGGTGTGCAGCTACGCATTGTATTTCACAAGGCAAAAGGCCTACAGCTAACCCTCCGGGTGCGTTCCATGCTGGACGTGTTAAAGGGACCGCCAGCACCTTCGTTCAATGGCACAAAAATGAAAAGGCAACGGTGGGGCAAGGACATTAAGTGTGTCGGTGTGAGTTGTTTTATAACCACACCCCAAGTGCTAGGATCCAGAAATGACGTTATGTGGTCTCCTAAGAAGCCGTATGGAAGAAGTCTCCTCCTGTGCTCTGTAGAATCATGGCTCCGCTACCACCGACGTGTTCCTGTTTTGTGAGAACAAGTCTACATAGACGGATACACAGAACGTGACCGTGGTACGTGCAACCTGCACTGGCTCCGCTATGGCCTTGAGGAAACGACAGCTGCTCTGGCTCTCGATTTCTTCCCATAGAAACAAGGATGATAAAGCACACTTCACACGGTGATCACACGTCAGGTGAGGAGAGCGCGGGGAAGTTTCGCCAACCATGCCACACGCTGCAGGTACTATACATAGGGGTAGCGTCTGACTGAAACTCAGGAGACACGCACGCCCTGGAGCTATTAGTCTGGTGTTTTTCAAGATTACCTTTAAAAATAAGCAAAGGAACAAAACAAAGGGAGAGAAGAACGGGAAGGCACCCATGCGTGGCATGACTGCATGAAGCCACATAACTTCTCTTGACCTTCTTCGAACGCACAGTCCTGCCCCGGGGCCGGGAGGGGCCGGCCGGCTCACTGGATCCGGCGGCGGCAGCAGAAGAAGTTGAGCTTGCAGCTTCCCACCACCTTCTCATCCTCCAGGCACGTCCGCCTGCACTTGCCGCGGCCCAGCTTGCACGCCTCGCAAGCAGCAAACTCACCTAGGCCGAGAGAGAGCTGCTCGGGCGCCTCTCCCGGGGCTCGGGCTCGGGGCTCGGGGCTCGGGGCTCAGGGCTGGGACCGGGACGAGGTCAGGGCCACCACGGGGAGGGTGCGTGTGTATGGTTGGAGAGGGAGTTTGCAAGAACCAGCCAAGATTTTTCAAAGAGCCCTGCTGTTTTCAGGAGGGAGGTGGAGAGCGCTCATTCATTGTTCAGCAGATAGCGACCCTGTGCTCCTTGTGTTTGTAACCCTGCTTGGTCAAAAGGAGGCGCAGCGGGCACCCCAGAGAGGAGAGGACTGTCACCGGGGCACAGAGGCCTGTGAGGACAGTGGGAGGGCCCCTGTGGGTGTGGAAGGTCCCTGGAGGAAGAGGTCAAGCCTCAGGTTCAGTTCTAGGCGGGGCGGGGCGGGGCCCCGCGTCCTCAGGGAGCTGCCTGAGCTCAGCCTCCTCCGCCCAGGGCTCGCGCTGGAGACCCTGGTCTGCATTTGGACCCTTTAGCGGTGCGATGGAGTAGCCTATGCGAGACTATTTCGCCAGACGCTGCTTACTCAGCGAGCTCTCTTCGTCGGTCCCTGAGCAGGAGCTTTCTTACCGGACCACGAAGAACGTTCAGGCCACCTCGGTGGACCCCGTGGGCAGCGGCTTTGCCACCAAAGGAAAAGTCCTTGGCTCGTCTGGTCCCCCAGGGGCAGCATGTGGGTTGTCACCCCGCCTTTTCACGCCTATTAACCACCCCCTTCCAGCAACCTCAGAGCCACATTGACCCCTACAGGTGGGAGGCGCCGCTGCGCCCGCCCCCGCGCCTGCGCAGCTCCTTCAGGCGTCCTCGGCGTTCCTGCCTCACCTCCTGCTCCCCACCCTCCCAGGGCGGCGCGGCAACACCCCCGGCGACAGTGGCCCTTCCTGGGGCTCCGTCCTGTGCCTTCAGCACCAGATCTGCTGAATACGAGCCCAAGGATGGTTCTCAGTCGTGCTAAGTGTCGCTGACGTCGCGTTGGCACTTACTGTGCTCCCTGGGGATGGTCTTGTTTGTCCCTCTGTGAAGTTCATCGTCGGAGTCAAAGGAACCCCCCCCCCCACCGCCACCCCAGCCTTCGCGCCAGCAGGCCCAGGCTTGCCTCACCCCGTCCTCTCCTCGATGCTCTGCACTCATCACACCCGGTGGGACAAGAACTCCCGGGGACCCTGCCTCTAACCTACTTTGCCTGGAGGTGAGGGCCGACAAGAACTAAGCTTCTGCTGAAGAGGCCCGGCGGCCAGCAGCACATGCTACCACCAGCCTCCGGGCGGCCGTTGTAAGGAGCCCATGACTCTCTTCTCTACCCTGCACCTTCTCTGCAACATAAACCTGCAGCTCCAGGGACCCTCCGCTCGCTCGCCAAACCTCAAGCTCCTCGCGTCCGGGTTCGCTCCCAGCTCCTCCTTTGATGACTTTCTACCCCTGCGTCCCCGTGTCCTTCCTCGCCTGGGATCTTCTGCATTCGCTTCTGTCATGTTGTCCCTGCCTCTGTCAGCCCCGCTCTCTGCGCCTGCATTTGCTCAGGGCTGTGCTGTGGGGCCTCAGCCCGTTCTCCTGCCTGAGGCAGGAAAGAATCAGCCTCTTCCACCGCAGATTCAGCTGAGACATGAAAGGACGCGGGGTTTCCAGTCTGCCCTGCTCTGCGGGATGCCAGGGATGGTCTCTGGGAGGCCCTTGGCTGCGGCGCGAGAGCTCCCACTCCCCCCCAACCCCCGGCCATCGCCCTGATCGCCGCTCTCTGGAGATGCTCCTGTGCAGAGCCCGTCGGCCGCTGGGACCCCCTGGCATGGGCAGATTGATTGCATAGGACAGCATCTGCCCTTTTCAGGCAGTACGTGGTCCGACCGATCCACCCTGCGCCGTGCAGGGTGTCCAAAGCTGTGTGCCTGCCGCCCGTGCTTAAGAGTAGCGCCGGGCGCAGTTCTACCTGGCTGAGAACCGCAGGACTCAAACCAGCAACTCTGATGTCCTCTGTTGGAAGCCTGGCCTAGCACTTATTATTTGTGACCTCTGGGCAAAGCGGCTTAATAGCTCATCTATGTCTCTGTTTCATCATCTGCAAAATGGGTGGTTATAATAGTACCTACCTTGGAGGGGTGTTTTGAAGATTAAAGGAGATAACCCACAGCAAGTTGTTAATAGACTGCTAGGTGCATAGTAAACACTCGATGACTGGTATCAACCTTCATTTTTTTCTCACTCTGAAATTCTGTCTGAACACTTTTAAATTTTGTTTGCAATTACCCAAGAACACTTTTTTTTTAATTTTGTGTACAATATACTTTCTTCCTGCATGAGTCCAAAAAAAAAAAAAAATCAGCTCTGGCTGGTGTGGCTCAGTGGATTGAGCACCGGCCTGTGAACCAAAGGGTTGCCGGTTTGATTCCCAGTCAGAGCACAGGCCTGGGTTGTGGGCCAGGTCCCCAGTTGGAGGTGTATGAGAGGCAACCACACATTGATGTTTCTCTCTCTCCCTTCTCCCTCCCTTCCCCTCTCTCTAAAAATAAATTAAAAAAAATATTTTTCAAAAAATCAGAGGGCTGTTCTTTAAAAACAGCTCTTCTGTGTGTGTGGTGAGTTTTCACTGGACTCTTCTCGCTCCTTTATTGGACCCTCTCAGACCAGTGGCATGCATTTGGGTAGAGCCTGTAAGAGATGGCCAAGCATGTCCCCAGAGCCATGCTCAAAGGCCGGTCCAAGCCTAATCCTGTGACCTGGGTTTAGAGGTAATGAGAGTAGCCGCCAGGTCCAAATCTCTGTGGCCAAAATTACAATCCAGTCACAAAGAGATTTCCCTGTGGAATAGGAAGTCCAGGTAGGACGCTGGGAACAAGAGGAAGAAAAGGTAAGAGTGGAGGTTCAGGCAATTCTATATTCACCACTGTCTCTATCGCTTGCTTGTCTCCGGAAGTGAGAGGAAGCCGAGCGGCCGGAGCTCCTAAAGCCAAAACTACACACAAGGGACTGCACTTACCTCCCGGGAATGGCCAGGAATAATCCAGTCCCGCCAGGCACCCTAAATTGAACACAAAGCACATTTTGGAAATCCAAGTCAGTATAGGAACTAGCAGTGTATAAAAATGTTCCCAACACCACAGACCTTTGGCCAGGGACAGCTGGTCACAGGAGTTGAGGATTTATTCTACTCCTGGTAACCAGGAAGAAGTGTTTTTTTTAAAAAAAGGAAGAGCTGTTTGCCCTGAGAAAATTCCAGAGCAAGCGCAAGGCAGTCCCATGAGAAGCACAGCAGGGAGCTGACCATTCCTCTCCATTTTGGGCAGCGCATAAAAGAATCATCAAACCTAACACTCTGCCATCAAAATCCTGCCCCTTTCCATTTACCTGGTGGACATGGAGCCAACGTGAAGGAAAGGACAAAGACAAAATACAACAGCTTCCTGCGCGGGACCATGGCTGACGGAAGACCCTTCCGAACAAGGGCTCGGGGCGTCTTTGAGGGGACCAGAGGCTCCCTTATATTTGAAAGTAACACAGTCTACTCTTGGTCGGTGAAGTGCATCAACAAAGAAAGCACATTTACATGCTCCACTTCCCAAGTTCAAGGGTGGTCATGACGGCTAATAGCCCTCGGCCTCCCTCCGGCCTTACACCGGGGGATCTGTCCGGGGTCATGGACAGCACACCCGGCCGGCGGGTGGAGGACCAGGGCCACGTGCCACTGTGCCCTGGTCTCGAGGAAGCAGGAGCATGCCCCTCCTCCATCCACCGAGAGCCCGCCGCTCTTCCGCCGGCCTCTCCGGGCTGCTGTGCGGCTCGCCTCTGGCGACGAGGCCCACGAGGCCAGGACACCCGGAACGCCTGGAGGGGGGCCTGGCCTGGGCCTGGCGAGGTGGCTTTCCCTGTCCTGGCTGTCATTTCTGTTGTCTGTACGCGTCCCAAGGAGAGGGAGGGAGAGCCACCATGTCAGCCTGAGCCCCTGAGCCTGCGACATCATCGTGCGCAGTCACCACATCCTTCGAATTCACTAAGAACACGGGCATCAGGCAGCGTAGCCACGTGGCCACGCCCCCCGCATCAGCCCCATCCATTGCCCAGGCCTGTGCAATGCTCTAGCCTTTCTTTCTGGAATGAAAAACAGGATGATGTACAAATGCGCACTCGGATGTCATGCAGACGGACTTTGTAAGTACATGGCCTTGAACGGATCGCTTAATGTTTTGAGCCTAACTTTCCTCGCCCTTAAAATGAGGATGTAACAATGATACGTCCTTCATAGGGTATTGGAGAGAATCACCTGGGGTCATGGGGAGTTCTTGTCAGAGCGCCTGGCTGTTGTGTTGAGGACTCTATTCCCATTTCTCTCTACCCAGCTTGGATCTTAACTTCTCTGTAAACTCTTCGGCAGGTCCACTGACTCCTAAGGAACCCTTCCTGGCCTAGAGAACTCAACAGAGCCAATCGATGAGTTTGTTTCCATGCCTTGCCAATGGATCAGCCTGAGAAGCCCAAGCAAATATGTGAGTGCTGAGGGTAGAGAGGAGCCTAACGCCTTTCAGCATGCAGGCGTCTTTAAGAAACGGGACCCGGGCCGGTTTGGTGGGCTCGTGATGAATGCGGCCACACAGCCCTTCCCCCGCGTTGGGGTTTAATGCTCTGCACTCACCGCATAGACATTCTCGAGTTAATCTTTGACAGTCTGCTTTGTAATGAAGGCTGATGGGACCAGGAGCTCTCCTGCAATTGTCCCTCAAACATCTCCATGCCTGAGGGAGTGAGATATTAAATAGCAAATAAAAAATATTATGACAGATGGAGAGAGTTGGAGGGAAGGGCAGATAGCATCTTGCCCCTGCTTTTTGAGCACGGGACTGTGAATTTTCATTCTGCTCTAGGCCTAGCAAATTCTGTGGCTGCCCTTGACTGGGCTTTCAGTCTAGACAAGTAAGATGGCTGCCGGCCTCTTGAAACTGCCTTGCTGCAAAGGCGTGTCCCCATCACGGAAATCACAGGGCCTCCGTGTCCTGTCACTGGCCAAACGTGACCCCTGTATGTTGGTCCTTGCAGTGTTTCCTTCTTTAGCTCAGAGCTCCCTGGGTTCTGGTTCCAAACTCAAACTCTTCCACAGGCAATTGCTTTGAGTGTAGAGCAAATAAAACATTCGTGTAGCCATTTAGGGCCTGCCTGCTTTGCCTGCTTTGCCTGCCCCGCCCCACTGGGCCCACCCTCCGCGAACCAACCCGGGAGCTGTGGAAGACCCTGAATTTCTGCCACCCTCTGAGCTCTCTTGCCTCCAGCCCCCACCTTGCTGCTGAGCAACATCAGCTGGACGCTTCCGGGTGTTTCCTTGTCCTTTGGGGTGGTGGCCTCGGGTCACTGTTTCTGGAAGGGCCGCCGCCCACGCAACCTTGTGCAGGTGCCACCCCCCACGCTTGCTGGGTGACCGCCCCTCCCTGGATCAGCCCCCGGCCCTGGAATGTGCCACACTCCTGTGCAGAGACTTCTTTCATCCAATGCGCCTTCCTCCCCGTGGCGAGTGTGAACGGGAGGCGGGCAGCGCTGCGCTTCCTGTGGGAGAGTCAGGTGGCTGTGTGTGAGGGGGAGACTCAGCCGTCTACACTGAGGCCTGAATGGCTGTGCCGCTCCCTCAACGCACACGCACAGGCCTAACGCTGAAACCCTGGCTCCCGCGGCGACGGTGTTCGGAGGTGGGGGCCTTTGGGAGGCAGTCGGGCGGTAGTCCCTATGAAAGGGATTCATGTCAGGCCCTTCTAAGAGAGACCCCAGAGAGACTCCTGTCCCCTTCAGCCCTGGGAGGACGGGGGTGCGGGCAGTCACCATCTGCAACCCGGAATGCTGGCCCCGACCTCGCACCCACAGCCTCCAGAACTGCGAGGCAGGGGTGCTTGGCGCTCGTAAGCCGCTGGTGCCTGGGGTTTGGTCACAGCAGCCGGGGCAGCCTGAGGCGGTGTCGTCCCGGTTTGGGGGAGAAGCCACGGGAAACCCTAACCCGAAGGGGTCTGTCCCTCCCCTGGGAGCCCTCACTGGTGCCAAACGGTCCAACTATGACTGCCTCAGGGTTGCACCCTCGCTTGCCGGCAGAGACCCACTTGGCAACAGCAGAGACCAGTGAGCTCAGGAGGCAATAGGTAACATAACTGGAGCCATGCGTAACTGCGGCTCTCGGGGAGTTTGTCTTTTGTTGTAGGTTTAAACCTTTTTAGTGGGGTGTGGGACGGAATAGAGAAACCTGGTGTTTTCGGTCTATCATTAACTGGATTTATAATCAAAATGCATGCAAAATGCTTACCAAAAATGTCATGGTGACCAAGGCTAGGGATAGATGGAATAGTCATTTCAAATGAAAGTTTTCCATTTGGAATGATTTTAGGTTTCCTGAAAAGTTGGAAAGATAGTACTGAGTTTTCACATTCCCTCCCACACCCACCCCTAATGTAACACCCATGTTCATAATTATTAATGTTAATAACCATGGTACCTGTTCTTATGTAAGATTTTGAAGGACACTTAGATGTACATATATATTTGACAATTAAAATACTGTATAGATACACACACGTGAAACCTCAGTCAAGCATCCACCAAGCGCACAACTATCCAGGGAGCTGTTTGAGAATTACCTAGGATCACGTTTGTGGCATTTAAAGTGCGCAGCGTACGGGAAGAGTCACTTTTGTAACAATAAATGGTGACAACAGCGCCCAGGGAAGCAACTGCCACCCGGGCGCCAGGCAGGAACTCCGCCGAGGCGGGGCCCTGCAGCGACGCCTTGCAGCACCGTCGCGCTTACTCTCGGTTCCCGCGGGAGCGCACAGAGGCTCCGAAGGCGCACGGGCAGGATCGGAAACCCCCGCTGCGGGGTCCCTGCTCTTTCGTCCTCGCTGACTCAGGTGTCTACGCTTGGTCGTCAGTGCACACCCTACTCCATCCTCCCTCCATCCCCATTTTTTCCTCGGGGACTTTCCAGAATTAAAAACAAACCCTGCTGAGCTGCCGACTGACACCCACTGAGGTCTGAGGGCTCTAGGCAGCGGAGCGCAGAGACACCTCCGACATGCCTCACCGATCAAGATGGTGCTGGTCTGGAAAGACGTATAAATGTGGGTGTTTGCTTCCCTGTCTCATGGATGCGGAGCTGATCTCTCAAGACCTTGCAAGTCATGAGGATGCTCCTCTTCCTCTTTGCTGTCTGCTTCTTTCTGGCCCCAGGTAACATGAGCACCTTTGCAGGAAGGGCACTGGAGGCGGCAGCCCCCGGGGTGGGGAGGAGGGCGGGGGCGGGGGGCTCTCCCTCGTGAAGGACGTGGCCAAGGTCCGCTCTGGGATACGCAGGCATCCTGGGCCGGGGCCCTGGAGGGGCCACTTGCTACAGGGGCGACTTCCCCTCGTGCCTCTCCTGTAAACCCTTTCCATTCCCATTGTTACCTGGGACGGGCTGCCACAGGTGCGCCGACCGTGGCTATGCCGGGAAAGACGCCTTTCGGTCCCAGACACAGGCTTACCCACGAAAAGAAAACTGGTTAAAAACAAAAAATTAGAAGCAAGGGTGACCATCAAGGAATCTTTTAATAAATAGTTGTGATAGAGATGAAGACAGTTAAAAAGGGGGCAGGAAGAGAGGAATGGAACTCAGAGACACCGTATTCGCACCAGCCGTGGAGGCAGGTGAAAGAGTAAAACCAGCTACCATCCCTTAGTTACACGCCGGACAGCTGGACAGCGTGACCAAAACTTCAGACCGTTCTCCAGTGCCCGTGCCTTCGAGGGAAACTCCGCCCTACCCCTAACTGAGTGACATTCAGAGCAACTCTTTTGGTTTGGAAGGACCACATAGCATCTCTTTTGCAGGCAGAAACTGAGGCTCAGAAGGGCTATGCAGTTGCTCAAAGTCCTGCGGACACGCAGGAGTGGCCGCCTTTTGAGCCCAGCTCTGCCTGGCCGCAGTGGGAGGGCGTGTGCTTCCCAGTCGGAGCTCTTGCCGCTTCTCCTTGCCCCTGGGAACCTCCAATGGCTGTAGCTGGGTCTTCCCCAAAATTGACGTCCAAGACTAGACTCACCC